CATGTTGAAAACAATTAGATGTCCTCATTGAAACCTTCACTGAAGCTTATCCTATAGTTATTTATATAACTCTCTAACTTAACTCCTTAATTTTCTGCCTTTCTTCTTTAAGACATTTAAGGCTACAAATGTTCTTTGAAGTTGTTGTCATCACTGCATTCCATAAGCTTTTCCATAGTTTATTATGTATTTAGGTTTGTTTTGTTGCATTTGGGGCTTGCTGAGCTTACTATATCTGAGTGGTTGAATTTCTTTTTTTTTTTTTAAAGAGCAGTTTTAGTGAGATGTACCTAACATACCATACAAGTCAACCATATAAAGGATAAAAATCAATGATTTTGTAGTATATTCAAAAGTTACGAAGCCATAACCTAATTTTAGAATATTTTCATACCGCCTAAAAGGAATCCCATCCCCATTTGCAGTCAGTCTTTAACCTTCCCTGTCACCAGTCCTAAATAATCACTAATTATTGCTTGTTTGTCTATTGTGGACATTTCATACAAATGGGATCATATAATACATGATCTTCTGTGATTGGTTTCTTTTACTTGGCATGGTATTTTGAAGGGTCATCTGTGTGGTAACATGCATCCATACTGCATTTCTGTTTATTGCTGAATAATTATAACATTGGGAATAATAATAATCCCATTGTGTGAACACACCACATTTTGTTTATCCATTCATCAGTTGATAGGCATTTCAGTTGTTTACAACTTTTTGATTATTGTGAATAATGCTGTTATGAATATTTGTATCCAAGTTTTTGTGTGGCCATATGCCTTCATTTTTCTGGGAGTAGAATTATTGAGTCATATAGTTACTCTATATTTAGCCTTTCAAGGAACTGCCAAGCTGTTTTTCCAATGGGGTTGCATAATTTTGCATTCCCATGAACAATGTATGAGGGTTCCAATTTCTTTGCATATTCACTACCACTTCTTATTATGGCTATCATAATGGGTGTGAAGTAATATCTCACTATAGTTTGATTTGCATTTCCTTAATGAACAAAGATATTGAGCATTTTTTTGTTATTATTGGCCATTTGTGTATGTTCTTTGGAGAAGTGCCTATTCACATTCCCATTTAAAAAATGAAGTTACTTGGGGTTTTTTGTTTGTTTTTGTTGTTGTTGACTTGTAAATAATTCTTTACATATTCTGAATGTAAGTTTCCAATTAGGTGTATGATTTGCAAGTATCTTCTTGGTTGTCTTGGTTGGAATGTCAATGTTTTCTTGGTTGTGTTTTAACTTCCATGGTAATATTGCTTGCAACACAAAAGTTTTTAATTTCTGTGTAGTCCAACTTATGAGTTTTTTCTTTAAGCATTTATATATTTGGTGTCATGTCTAAGGAATCATTGAGTAACTCAAAGTCACTAAGATTAACTCCTGTTTTTTTCATGTAAGAGTTCTGTAGGTTTTAACTCTTAAATTTAGGTCTATAATCCAGTTTGAATTAATTTTTTTTGTCTGTGGTTTTATATCTTTCATTACTTTTATAAAATCTTGGTTACTATCTCTTCAAATAGTTTCTGTTCAAACTGTTTCTCCCTCTTTCTCTCTCTCTTCTGTTTATTTTAGGACTCCTGTTAAACCTATGCTGGTTTTATTCTTTGTGCACATGCCTTTGAGGCTCTGTTCTGTTGTCTCCATTCTATTTTTTTCTCCATTTGCTTCAGTTTGGATATTTTGTTTTTCTTATTTCCAAATTCACTAATCCTCTGTCCTGTTATGTCCAGTCTATTGTTAAACTCATCCATCAATTCTTGATCTCAAATGTTATATTTTTCAATTCAAGATTTTTCCATTCTTTTTTGTGGATTCCAATTCTCTGTTAAAATTCTGTATCTTTTAATCCATTTTATACATTTTTTCTTCTATTTTATAACCTACTGCTTATTTTATAATAGTTATTTTAAAGTTCTTATGTGGACTCCAACATCTACCTTATCTATGTGTCTTCTATTATCTACTTTTCTCATTATTAGTTAAATTTTCCTACTCTCTTCAAATCCCATAATTTTTTTTACCATATGCCAGATTTTTATGTAAAAACCTATAGACAATATGGATGATATTATTTTACTCTGGAAATGAAAGTAGGCAAAGAGGATGAGGGTCTGCTTACCTCAGACCAATCAGGGCTGAGCTGGGTTGGGACTAGTTTGTAGTTTTACTAAGAATCAGTCTTCCGGTTTCTCTCTGTTCTTCATGATTCCTCTGAGCTTTAGATAGAAACCCAGTAAGGTGCTTGTCACCTCTGCCCTAGAGATTTAGTTCTGCCTTTGAGAGGTTTTAAACTTAATCTTCAGTCTCTTGTTCACACAACTTCATAAATAATTGCACGTCTTGACTACGGAAAATGCTTGTGTATTTTAAGCAGGTTCTTCCTTCTAGGTAGAGCTAGTTTTATACATATGGGTGGAATGTGGGGTGATTTTACTCTGTACATCAAGCCCCTCAACCTCCTGCACCACTTTAGGATTGAGCAATGTACTATGTGAAACCTGGCTATATGTTTGGGGTTTCTGGCTGTATGTTTGGGGCTTCTTTGTGTTTCCAATCAGTTTTACAACTCACATGATTGTGAACATTTCACTGTTTTCTCTTTACCTGTGTCAAGTCCCTCTGCCCTGGCAAAACTTGATGAGTTTATTTCTAGAATCAGCAAATGTTACCAGAGAAGAAAAAACCGTTAATAATTGTCAGCTCACTTAGTTGAAGTGTCAGCAAAAGAGGACATATTCAATTGTATTGTCCTTTGCGGCACAACAAGTAAACATGAGAAGATGCCAAACTAGGAGTCTAAACGTGGACTGTGATCTTTGCAAGGACCTGGACCAGCAAGAGCATCATCTTAGAGTAGACGAGTATTATTGGACCCGGACAGGACAAGTCTTCAAAGCAATGCCTGTTTTGTCAGTGAGAAGCACTATACTGAATAGACAACTCTACTGCTGTTTCAGCGTGGCCTTAGAAAGGGTAGGCTTCCTCTTGATGGAGTAAGGTCCCTGTTTCTGGAGAGTATAGGGGTAGAGCTCAGGAGGGAAATAATAGACTGTCTGCTAAAAGATCAGGGGAAGACTCACAGATTTGTAGCAATATGGCACCAATTTCATATGTCATATTGCACTTAATCAATGATCAAAATGAGAGAAGATGTATGCTAGCAAAAGAATTGCTTTTTACTACTTTCATATTATTTTTATGTTTTACTCACTGAATAAACAGTAACCTAATTTTGGCAACGACGACTTTCACTCTAAGAATATTGATATAGGAAAAAAATTAAAAGCTATAGTAAGGGGAATGTGGTAAGGAGGAATTCACAGGATTCAATTCAACTGCCATGCACTTTGCTTTGTGCTCAGTTGCCTGGGTTAGAAAAGGTAGTATCTCTTACTGTGGACTGATGTTTTTGTCACCATGATATCTCTATGATGTCTCCAATGTCATAGTATTTGGGGTGGGGGGTGAGTGATTAGGTGGGCTTATGAGGGTAAAGTCCCCATGAAGGATTAGTGCCTTTATAGGAGAAATGAAATATCTCTGTCTGTACCCTTACTCTTCTCTGACCATGTGAAGATATGGAAGGTGGTCATCTGCAAAACAGAGGGTCCTTACCACAACCTGAGTATGCTGGCACCCTGAACTGGGATTTCTTACCTCCAGAATTGTGGGAAATGTCTGTTGTTTAAGTCATCCAGTCTAACGTATTTTGTTTTATAGGCCCAGCAAGTGATTAATTCAAACATATATTTTCAAGCAAGATACACTTGCATTCATTTATGACTTTATTACAAATATATTTAAATTCCATGATACTTCCTAAGATTTGCTTCTTAGTGTTTTTCTAACCTTTACCAAACATAATGTATTCTTACTATGAGAGCAAAAGTAACTTTATTATTACCTTATTGAGCTTGATTTAGGTGGCCAGATCTAAGAAGGAAAAAACAAACGCCACACTTTCAAAACCAGGCTAGCACTCTGAGTTATATAAGCAAGCCTTGTTGTTGTTCTCTTTTGCTACTGCAATCAGAGCAAGGGACGAGAAACGTTAGAAGGCTAAGACAAAGCTCATACAGAGGACAATAGTAGTGGAGAAAAAAAATTAAAACGAGACTGGATGGAAACAATGCAAAACTAGGTGAGATGTTTGGAAGAGAGTTTCAGCCTGTATGGCTTTAAAAACAGACCTCCATTAGGAAAAGACCAGTAACTGGAGATGGGCTAAGGTGGATAGACTTTTTTTTTTTAACCAATTCTTATTTATTATTTATTTATCATATTGTTGTAAGGGGGTACATTGTGACATTTACAAAAATTGGATAGACTACATTTTTCTTAAGATGAGGATTAACTCACTATTAGGAATATTACCAAACTGCTTCTTTTATAGTATATGCCTGTAATTTCTTTTTTTTTAATCTTTATTTTTTGGTGGCATGACACTTGAACTCAGGGCTTCCTGCCTGCACTGCAACCACTTGAGCCACTCTATCAGCCCTTTTTCTTTTGTGTGTGTGTGAGATGGTTATTTATTTATTTATTTATTTATTCAAGATAGAGTCTAACTATTTGCCTGGGGTTGGTTTTGAACCTCAATCCTCCTGATCTCTGCCGCCTGAGTTGTCCTATAGGATTACAGGAGTGAGCCACCGGTGCCCAGCTGTATGACTGTAAATCTTAATTCATAATTAGAAGTATACTTTGTCTTGAATTCCGTTTATTTTCTCAAACAGACACGACACTAATCACTACATTTGTCCCTTTTACACACTGATTCAATTTACTTCTATCTTCGCTGATGATATAATGAAAATTTATGGATCACCCATAATCAATAAATCAGGCTTCAAATATGCTTTTAATGTTCAATACCTTAGAGGGAGAGAAAGACGGGAGCAATTTCGAGGGAAATCTTATACGCCGGATGTTCCAAGTAGATGTGTGGTATCTTAACTTGGGTAAACACGTGTGCAAGTACCTCTCTGTGTTCCAGCAACCCAGAGGCCCAGCTCCAGCGCCATAGGCGTCCCTACTTCCGGCCCCGCCCCCTCCCCGCAGTTGCTAGGAGACCTGACGTCACCGGAAGCGAGGCCTGGGATAGGCTGCGGCGAGGGAAAGCCTCTCCCCTCGGCACCCTCAGTGCCGGCGCCGGCTCTCCAGCTGTTCGTAGGCCCTGTGGCGAGGGTCCACGGAAGGGCGAGCCGGCTGCTGCCCCGCCCGCGCACTCGCAAGCTCGGCCGCCTGCTCCTCCAGTCCCTGCGTTCCCGTCGGCTGGGGCCCGCTGCTCCCGGGGCGGCTGCCCGCGCTTCTGACTGACAGGCATTGCTCCCACTGCAGGGGCTGCCCGCCACGTCCCCGGTCTCGGCCGGCCGTCCTGCGCGGCGGGTGACCTTTCTGTGCCCAGCGCGATGTCGGTTCCCCGCTCCCGGTCGGCGCCGCTCCCTCAGCGCCGCGGGCTCCAGCTTGGGCCGCCCTCACCGCCTCGGCTATGGCTGCTGCTGCTGCTGCTGTTGCTGGCGGCCGTGGGGTCGGCGCGCGGCTGGAGAGCGAAGACCTGGAGTTGTTCGACTTGGTGGAGGAGGTGCAGCTCAACTTCTACCATTTCCTCGGGGTGCAGCAGGTAAGCGCCGAGGCGCGTGCGGGGCCGGGCGGAAGGAAGGAGCGCGCGGACGCGGGCGGGGACTTGGGCCCTTGGGCTCAGCCTAGTGCACCCTCGAGTTTCCAGCCTCGCGAGGACCTGTCCGCTTTCCCCAGTCCCTCACCCCCGCTGCACCTTCTCTAGTTCCTTGTCGGCTGGACGGTGCCTTGTTGCCGATACTTTCTCTTTGCTCTGGCTTTTGGGGACGATCCTTCTCCCCCACCCCCCCGCCCAGGTGTGCTGGAGGAAAAAGAGTGGTATGAGTAGATCTTTTTTTTTTTTTTTTTTAAATCCTATCCTTTCCTTTTCTGCCTCCCTGAATGGGGGAGAGTAACCATGTCTCACCCAAACTGTCTTCTTCCCGCTTCCATGTATCTTGTGTCATCTGGCTCTTTCCCCGGCAAACGAGTGCCTTTTGCCCAGCGGCGGTGTTGCAGTGTTTCTCGCACTGCATTTTGCAATCTCCTTAGCCTGTTAGATCGGAGTTCGTAGCACAGCTTAGATATCTGGGGGAACTGGAAACTTCTACCTGGTTGGTCCTGGCGTATTGTCATAGGAAAAGCTCTGAAGCTTTCCGGGCAGTCGGGGTACTTGGGGTGCAGTTGGAAGAGCAGTCCTGCCAGTAACGCAGGGATTTTTTTTTTTTTTTTGCCTTTCGTTTCGTTTCGTTTCCTTTCTTTCTTCTTCTTCTTCTTCTTCTTTTTTTTTTTTAGCTTGGGCTATTACCTTGGGTGAGTAAGGGTGTTTATCCAGTAAGCTTCCAAAATCCAGTGCCAAGTAGAAGATGACAGTTCATTCATTTCAGGATTAGAGAGCGAAAGAATGTCACGTGATCCGATGGAGTCTTTCATAAATGCTCTAAATAGATTATGGGTGTAAAAAAAAGTTACTTTACTAACAGTTGTCATTAAAGGCACACTTCACATGAGTAGATATGAAATACACACTTTTTCATAGGCTATTATAAATTTGGGTAAACTATTGAACTTTCTTTCGGGGTTACCCAAGTTTGAACTCTGGGCCTCGCATTTGCTAGGCAGGCGCTCTACCACTTGAGCCAGGACTGCAGCCTGAACTATTGAACTTTTAAATGAAAATTTAATTTTCCATTTAAATTGAACAATTAAATGGGATATTTAATTTTCAAACATTTTCATTCCATTACTGAATAAAAAGATTGCTAGGTTGCCCTGGTACTGTACAATTAACAATTTTTACAAGTTATAATTTTATAACTGTGTCACCTGATGCCACTTCTTACAGAGACAAAATATACCTCATTTTCAAAGTAAATGATGATGCAAATGTGTAACAATAATTAGTGAAACTACAAGTTTGAAGAGTAACTTTTTGTTTGTCTTTGGGTTGAGACAGGTTCTCACTATGTATCCTGGCTGGTATTCATCTCTCAATCCTTCTACCTCAGCTTCCTGAGTGTTGGGATTGCAGAGTTGCACTGCTATGCTAGTCCTGAAGACTAACTTTTGACAATCCCTTGGATACTGAGAATATTTAGAATTTATTGGGATTGATAAATTCTGTAGCTAGTGAGAATCTAATAGATAACCTTTCAAAAATCTTGAAGATGCTTTCCAACTATATGTGGAAATTAATCTCCTTTAAGTTTAAAATTTAGATTGTGTAATCTAGATTTGCATGTCCATTCATAGAGTTTTCACTTATAAATCTCATGCAATTTAATTTGCAGTTAATTAGGCAGTGTGAATCGTAGACCTCTTATCTTTATGAGCAAAGATGGGAAAACAGAGAAGCATAAGTATTCAAGAAGACTCTTTGTCAAAGAATTTGAAAAGAAGAATCCAGAAAATTATTTTCATCTGTTTCTCTGTCCAAGTGTGTTGAAATTAGAAAGAAAACCAGAGGAACTTCTTTCTAAACAGAGAAATCGAACAAGTTCTTTGCTTTTAATCTTCACTTTCTTGGAAGACTTTCAGGGAACCAGATATTTGGTAAAGATAAATGCAGTCTGTTTAAAGGTTTTAATGTGTAATTTTCAAGCTGGAGCCAAGCAGTCTCTTGGTGATTAGCCAGATTTTGGTAACAGAACAAAGTAGGTAGGTTACTCAGACTGGTGACCTGGCTTTGGGCGCTGATCAGCTTGTTCATTCAACAGAGATTTAGTTGGTGCCTATTGGATTTTAAGCACTGAGAGTTGGCCGGCATATAAAACAAAACCTTAGCCTTATGAAACTTACAGCATAGTAGGGGAAATAGATAAGAAAAACTAAATGGGTAAATTCAAATATTAGATGGTCAGAGAGGGCCTCTGAAGGTACTTAGGGAATAAGCCATGTAGATAATTGGTGTGTCTTAGTCTGTTCCAGCTGCTCTAAGAAAGTATTGTAAACTGAATAGCTTTGCAACAACAGAAATTTATTTCTCTCAGTTTTGGAGACTAAGAAGTCAAGATCAAGGTGCTGGCAGGTTCTGTGTCTGCATTTTCTTGCTGTGTCCTCACAGCACCAAGGGGCAAAGCAGCTCTTTTGGGACTTCTTTTGTAAGGGTTTCACCCATTATGACCTATTTACTTCCCAGATGCCCTGCGTTTTTGTACTATCAGTTAAGGATAGATTTCTGCATTTGAAATTTAGAGGGACTCAAACATCCAGATCACAGCATGGAAGAGGAGCATTCAAAGAAGAATAGAGTAAGTATAGAGGCTTGGGGCAGGAGCTTGTTTAGTGTCTGAGGAATAACAAAACAGGCAGTGTGGCTGGAGCAAAAGCAGCAACAAGGAGATAAAATCAGAGTCATAAGTGGTAGGGAAAGATGTAAGGCCTTGCTGATCAGTGTAAGGAGTTTGGCTTTTACTTATAATTAAGTTGGGGATCCAGTAGAGATAAGAATGTTGAACAGAAGAGATGAATGATTTGACTTAAATTTCAGAGTTTCCATTGTGATAAGGATAGTCTATAAGGTATTATTTCCTTAGAGGAATAATTGTAGTGTGGAAATGTAATACTACCTGGGCAGTAGCAGTGATGGTACATAGTGGTCGGATTCTGGATTTAATTTGATCACACAACGACAGGATTTTACTGATGGTCTGAATGTGAGGTGTGAGAGAAAAAGAAATTAAAGACACTTCTAAATATATTGACCTTAGTAACTGGAAGGAAGTCATTTAGTGACTTGGGGAATCCTGGAACAGAAGTCTGATTGAGGGAAAAATCAGGAATTTGGGGTTTCATCATGCTAAATTTGTGTGACTTAAGCATTGAAGTTGAACTGGCATACAGGCATTTGGTTATTCACGTTTGGAGTTCCAGCAGAAAGGTTTGAGCTGTAAATAGGAATTTTAGAGTCCCTGACACTTAAAGCCACATAACTGGATGAGTTCACCTAAGAATGAATCTAAAGAAGAAAGGCGATCTGGGAGCTAAGCCTTGGACAACTGAACTTTAACAGTCAGGGATGAAGAGGGAACCAGTAAAGGAGATCAGAAGGACCAATCCGTGAGACAGGATACAAATCAAGAAAAGGTACTGACTTTCTAATCAAGTGGAAAAAAGTATCTTAAAAGAGTAGAAAATGGTCACCTGGGTTAAACAATGATGATAATTCAAGTAACGTGAGTTCTGAGAATTGATTGGATTTAAGTGTGGAGGTCCTTGCTTACCTCAGCATGAGCTATTTCAGTGAAGTTGAAAGATCAATAGACTAGTTAAATTAGGTTCAGGAGAGAATAACTGGGAAAAATCAGAGACAATTACTATAGAAAACTGGATGGTTATGACTGGCTGTGGCATCTTTTTTATCCCATAATCCACCAGTTCTTAGATAGTCCTCAGTTACTGCCTAAACTCTGTAATTGGAATAACTGATGACCTTTAGAATGTGGACCAGGCTACCTCCTGGTTTTATGCTCTCAGGCAAGTTAGTTGCCTCATTTTTAGAACAGTAGACACTATAATATTTACTGATTGAAACAATGTAAGTATCATAATTGAAACTAAACTGTAATTTCTCAAACAAGTAGTTGCTTGACATTTTTAACTCAGTATGTCATATATGGCCTCAGACAGCAAAGAAATCTCTGCATGAATTTCAAGTTGGTTCTAGTAATCAAGAAAGGGGTTCCAGAAGTCTTTAGGAGAAGGGTAAATATAGATGACACATTAGTGGTTCAGCCTATTTTTGGAGTGTCTTTTGATCATAGGGCATTTCAGTTTGGATATTACAACTTTTCAGAGGAGATGGGATGTGGAGAGACTAGAGGAGTTATAGGCAAAAGGATCAGAGTTCTTTTATTAACTTAAATTCTAGGTCTCCATGTAATATTTTGACTAATAGTTCCTACTCCTTGGCCACCTTTATTTCTTTTGGAATCAGAAGGCTATTTTAATGAATAAAAAACAATTCTGTCTTTTTTGTAATTATCTTTTGGGATTATAACTTTTCTTCTACAGTATTTTATATAGTATTCTAGCCAATAATGAATACTTCCTTTTCACTTTAAAAAGTCTGTGACTTGAAATGATGTTAACCCAAATTATCTTAAATTTTGCAGCATTTGTGATGAAATCAGAGTTGTCTTAATGGTGCTAGTCAGTCATTACAGACACCTGCTGTTCAGATAGCTAGGAAATATATTTCTTTTAAATAACTTCATTTTTACAATCAAATGAATGATAAAACTTGGTTAACTGAAGAAATGCTGTTATCAAGTGATGTGCTTATAACATTCAGATTTTAATTTGTTAATTAGTATTTATAAGGCTTTTAGGGAGGCGGGGAGGTGGCCCAACAATGTATATATGTGAATAAATGTAAAAATGATAAAATAAAAAAGTTCGACTCTTAAAAAAAAAAGCCTTTTAAGTTCTTTCAATCTGTACTTCTAAATGTATAACATGTATAAATGCATAGGATAGCAACCCTTCTAGGGGAGGGATAATTATTGCCCACTCATTCTGTATCCAGATGGAGGGACTTACCTAAAGAAACACTGCTGAGAACTG